TGATGTCTCTTGGGGAATCCAGAAAGGGGGTGTAGGCAGACAGCGACTCGGTGAATGTTAGGTATCCGTTGTTGTTCACCTAAAATTTAGGACCACAATCATTCGAAAGTATTTTAAAGAGAATTTTGAAAACAAAAAAAAAGAGGAGTACATAAATAACATAACTTAAATTGTACGGGAAATGTAGTGCTTACGAACTTAAATGGTATGGGAAATGTTGTGCTTACGAAGATCTGATTGTATGTGCGTCCAAAGTATTTGAAAGGCTGCTGCAAGAAAATGACATCCGAGCTTCCATCCTCAGCAGGGGGGTTGACAATTTCTCCATCCCCAGAAGCGAGGAAATTAGTTGGCACTAAGGAAAGGATAAGTGAGAATGAACTCTCTAGTTCTGCTGAAGAAACAAGCTCACAAATGGAACAGGTTAAACTTGAGCTTCTGGTTGCATTGGCTTACAGTTCGGTGAGCCGTCAACATGGAAAGAGCGGCGACCATTCACATTGACATTGCTGCTGGATGAGAGTTCTGGGGCGCTGGTCACTGGAACTGTGAAAGAATGGACAGAGTCCAATGTGTTGTAACCAGCCTGTAGAAGTAAAAAGGAATCGTTGTTAGGTCCTCAACTTGTTCCAGATATAACTGCCTTTTGGTAGAATGTAAGGTATGCAGCGAGGCAAGGGCAATTCCTTGTCATCTGTCTCATTCGTAAAGCTTACATGGACCTGATACCACTTACCAGCCACATTTGTTCTGTCTCTGCAATGTCTCCATAGTTGATGAGGATGAAGGAGCGATGGACATTGGAGACAAAAACCACTTGGAAAGTAGCCTCCTTCCAAATACCAAGAGAAAGCATGAAAAACCTTTACAAGACAACACTAATTCATTGATAAACAACAACTCGATCTTACCCCTCCACCACTCTGGTATGGCACACTGTCCCAGGTCGCGACAAAAGCTGATGTAGCAGCAAAAGTTATGTTGGGGAAGTATTGGTCAATAGCTGCAGTGACTAGCCCTAGTACAGCACTGCTTGTGTCCTCTCTATAAGAGATAGTTCCACCACGTCTGTTGTCAAGGTGAGTCCAGAGAGGAGCAACGATGTCTCTTCCAGAATTCAGCAGAGGGATGTAGTCGGGCAGTGGCTCGGTAAATGTTAGATGGCCATTGTTGT